GAGGATTCTGCGTAACCCCTGGGGAGCAAGTGCAGAGAGTGAGGGACCTGATGAAACGGGACCTCTCTCAAGGCGGCAGAGTCAGGCCACATCCCCCTGTGCCGGAGCCAAGGATGGACCAGTCTCCTGCACTGGGCTGGTGCCAGCTTCCATGGAGGATGCTCAGGGGGGCAGTGCACGGCCTGACCTCCGGGACCCCGACTGGTGCAGATTCTCCATCCCCAGCCCCCTGGAGCCAGCAGGCTGAGCCGCACGGGGTGGGAGTGGGGTCTGTGTCCTGGAAAGGGTGGGGCAGCAGCTGGTGGAGCATGGCAGGAGTCACCCCAGTCCTGAGGGGACTGCAGACAGGGCACAAGGAGTGCATCCCACGCTGGAGGGACCCACAGACGGAGCAGGCCCCTAGGGAGCTCATAGCTGGGCTGGGAGGTGTTTCCTACCTGTACGGATTTACCTGCTCTGGATATTTCTAAGCAAAATCCTATTACTGGATGACTGACTTCTTTTTTTTTTTTTTTTCCTTTTTTATCGGTACTGGGGATTGAACTCACAATCACACACTTGCAAGGCAGGTGCTTATGCCACTGAGCTAAAATACCCAGCCCTGGATGATTGGCTTCTTGTCACTCTCTTTCTCCTAGAGTGCTTTCAAGATTCATCTCCGTTGTACTGACTTTCAGTGCTTTCATTCCCTGTTAGGGCTGAACACCATTCCATTGCTTGGATGAACCACACTTTTTAAATTCACTCATCAGTTGATGGATATCTAGGTTGTTTCCACTTTTGACCTATAAATAACAATGCTGCTGAGAACATTTGTGCACCAGGATCAGTGCCCCATTCCTTTTTATGGCTGTATAATATTTTGTTGACTAGATATACCACAGTTTGTTTGTCTATTGGATGAAAGGGCCAGAATTATGCTCTGGAATGATTCATCTGACAGCTGAGAAGGATTGAAACCAGGTAAAAATGAAGTCAGGAAGGCAGTTGGCCACCGGCCTGACTATGAGCCCCCCTTCACAGCCTCTGACTAACATCTCCATCCAGATTTCAGCAGAGGCCTTGCCCTGCCTGGTGCTGACCACTCTGCAGGGAGCTCTGCATGTCTCTGATGCTTACATGGTCCAGTGCCGGGGCCCCGGGTGTCCACAGTATATGAATGACCCTGGGGGTCCCCATGGATGTCTTGAGTGGGGTGGGGGCCTCAGTTCCCAGCATCTGGCTGTATCATTAGAACCAGTCTAGGGAAAAGGCAGGCCCAGGAGGCAGCAGCAGAGTCGCTGAGTTCCCTGCCCTCTGCCTCTTCTCATGCCTCCCCATCCTTTCATTTCTCGGGGTGAGAGCTGTGCTTTGCTAGGCCGCTTGGTCACAGTGAGCGCCGTTCAGCCTAATAAAGATGCATCTCTAAGAGTGACTTCACCTCACTCAGCAGCATCACCAGGCAGGAATTCTGCAGCGAGGAAAGGCCTGGGGGTGCTTGTGGCTCCCGGGGAAAAAGGAACGGCTTGTTTGGTGACCCTTACTTGGAAGATGTAAGATGCTGGTGCTTTTTCTCTTTTCTTGGGTGCTAAATTGGGTGCAGCCTCCTGACTTATCTGTCCTTACTTTCTTGCTCTGCCAAAGTCCTGTCACCCTTTTTAGGGCAAGGACACTATCATCAGGATTCGCAGTTGGCTGCCACCTGCCACAGTGAGACCTGGGAAATACGCTTCTTATGCTTCTAGGAATGCTAAGCTGTATACTATTTCATTGAATGGATATACCACAACCTGTTTCTCTGTTGGTCTGTTGAGATAAGGAGCTAGAATTATGTCCTGGGAATATCCAACTGGTAGTTAAAGGGAGATAGAATTGTAGTCAGGCAACAGTAGAATTAGGAAGGCCGTGATGTGTTGTCCAGTCTCCAACCAAAACCGAGAGTGAGCTTATCCCCACCCCTGGTGACAGGCAGCTCCCTCCCACCACTCCCCTTCTTTCTTTTGGCTCCTCCTCTCCGCAGGACCAGGGATCCTCTGACTCATTCTGTAAACAGGAGACAGGGGAGGGCTCACTGGTGCCTTTCCAGCCCTGTGGCCCTGTCACTGCATGCTCATTACGACCCCTCTGTGCACCTCTCTGTGTGCAGGCTTTCTCTGGAGCTTCCCAGGGCAGGCAGGGTGCTGGGGGTCCTCTGCAATTGGGAGCGACCCTCAGCCAGTGGGGGACGGGAGCGGGAGGGCGAGCCCTCAGTGGCCTCTCCTCCTCAGGTGTTCTGCCCCACTGTCAGACCCCCTGCAGGACACGGCCTAGTGGGCACAGTGGAGCCTGCCCAGCTGTGCCCCCTGCACAGTGGCTCCCTCCGATCTCACCCACACTGGTGCCAGATGGCTGTGGGAACAGCCTCATGGATGCGCCATGCTCACAGGGGTGCCCACCTCTGCCCAGGCTTGGCTTCCAGAGACTTCGGTCAGCAGCCGGGTGTCTCCATTTAGCAGTATAAATGCTCAGCAGTTGTCATCTTGCTCTTGGCTTGGAGACCCCCACTGAATTTCAGGGCCCAGGGAAGCTCCATTTACTCACTTTCTGCTTGCTGTTTACAAAGCGCAGCTGAGGAAGTCAGGGGTTCCCAACCTAAGCACTGCTCAGGGACCAGATCTTTCCCCACCGCAAGGGACCGTGTGCACTAAAGGATGTTTCACAGCACCGCAGGCCTCGGCTCACCTTCGGCACCTGTCCAGTTAGGACAGCTGTGTCTCCAGCGGGACACTTGGACACTGCCAAGTGCTCTGGGGGACACAACTGCTCTCGTTTCATAAGTGCTGGCATAAGTGATCTGATGCCACCTGACATAAACAGAAATCGAAAGAGGCTCGTGACAGGGAGGGCAGCGGCTGTGCCAATGGTGGTGGTGGTGCTGCTGATGCCAGTAATGAAATCAGAACGCAAGCTAACATTCACCCAGCTTGACCAACGTGACCCTGGAATTTGATCCCTGGCCTTCTGTGAGCCACGTCTCCTTCCCAAAGCCCACGGCACCCACGCAAGACCAATTCACAGCAAGGAGCTTCAGAAAACTGCACACTGCATCAAAGTAACGAAGCTGGGTATCACACCGAGGCCTCCTGATCCCCAGACTCCCCCAGGCGCCTTCCAGCACCCGCTCTGTTCCCTTTTATGGGGAACAAAGTGCCTGGGGAGGGTTTTAAATGAAAGCCACTTGAAGCCTTGGAAGATGCTGCAGCGGAAATGTGTGACAGAAGCAAAGCTGGGCCACGGCCGGAAGCCCTGAGAGCTGTGGATGGGCTGTGAAGTCTAAGATAAACGGCTGCTGTTCACGCGGCCTGATCCGGCACTTTGGGGAGCAACTGATGCATTCAGGTCACTGGAGCTAAGAGGCCCTGCCCTATGGAGGGTGAGAGCGGACATCACCCACTGCCTCTGCTGCCAAATAGACACTCTAGCAGGCATGTGTGGACCAAAGCACTTATTGAGCACCTCTGTGTGCAGGGGAAGGCATTAACTTCAGAATTTCAGTGTAGCTAAAAACCAGCAGGAGACAGCAGCCCATCTGGTGCAGTGTCTTGAGGCCTAGCTGTGCCTAGGAGAAGTTAGTTGGGGTGCTGTAGAGAAAAATGGTGGAGACTACTGGGGCTCCTAAGCCTGAGGAACCATGAGAGGTGCTGGGGAAGGGCTCAGGGTGGGAAACAACTCCTGCCACAGCATCTGCAAAGCTGTGCCAGGCCCTGGGCTCCTGCTGCCCAGCCCTGAGTGTTTGCGGTTCCTGCACCAGCAGCCACCGCACTGCCGTGGAGGAGCGCTCCATCTCAGGGGAGAGATGTTGCCTCGTCGAGTTCCAGGGTCTCCACTCAGGCTGCTTCCTGCACTGCCCGTCCTCTGGCAGGCAAGTGCTCAGACAGGCTGCTCCTGCCTGACACCCTTTGGGGTCCCCCACTGCAGCAAGATGATGTAGAGACCCAAAGCGTGGGTCTTCAAGGCCCCACGTCTGGGCCTCCCTGCTGGGTACCCATCCACATCCCAGTACCTAGACCTCGGAAATGTCCAGGGACTGAACCCTCCACCCTCTGCCTCGTGCTCAGCCTTCTCCCCGCCTGCTATTGGTCGGCTTCAAGGTCCTTTGTTATTTCCTGAGGCTTTGCAGCAAGCACCACCTCCTCCGGAGACCTCCACGATGTCCTTGTTCCAAATTAGATGCTCTACTTTCTGAATTCACATGGATCAGAACCCCTGCACAAACACCTGGCTTACGAGTTACAATCTGGCACTTCTCTGTGACGCCTGCTTGGGCAGCAGCGTGCCTGACATGTAGTAAGAGCTCAGACAACGTTAGGGGAGGAGGTTAAAGGGGAAGAGGCAAGAGACCAAAAGAGAGAGAGAGAGAGGAAAGGAAAGGGGAGGAGAAGGAGTCAGTTTGTGTCTGCGACTGGTACAACCACAGCTGACCTGCCGCATCCTCTCCATCAAAGACGGATTTGTCCACTCTCCTGTGGCCTGGGGCAGGAGTGTTACCTGCACACTGCGGCCCACATATTTAGGGTCCAGGGACTCTTGCACTGGCCCCACAGGCTACAAAGAGTGACAGCAGCACATTTCAGGGTCAGTGCCCACCCCGCCCTTGAACGCACACCTCAGACATGACAGGTAACTCTTGCAGGAAAAATGGAAAGCTTCCTTCTCCTTGCATGAAAGGGAAAACCACAATTAACAAGCTCTCCGCCTCTTCTGCACCAGAGCAGAAAGGTCCATGCCACACCCCAGCATGGTGCCCCATGTCTCACACATGGGGGACCTCATTAGGCTCAGGTAGGCATCTCCTGACACAGCCTCAGACTCCAGTCCACTAGGACCCGGGCTCTGTGTTGGAGGAAGTGGCACCATGCCCTGGTCATGCCCTCAGCTGTGTCTACCTCCCTTGGCTCATAGCCCAGATTCCCATGTTTCCTGACAGTCACTCAGAGGTCTGCCCGCTGCATGACTGCATCCTTGTCTCTCTGTCCCCCCAGCCTGAACCTGAGCAACAGCGACATCCTAACTATCTACGATGGCGATGAGGTTGTGCCCCACATCCTGGGCCAGTACCTGGGGAGCAGCGGCCCGCAGAAGCTGTACTCTTCCACGCCAGACCTGACCATCCAGTTCCACTCCGACCCTGCTGGCCTCATCTTCGGGAAGGGCCAAGGGTTCATCATGAACTACATAGGTGAGCGTCTCATCCGGCCGGGTGTGTTCTTTGCACTAAGGGATGGCATTCAGTGACTTCCTCTGGCTCTGTGGGTTGAAGGTTTTGTGTCACACAGGTCTATTAATGCATTAGCACAGTTAAGAGACACAGTTTTTAAGAGACCAGGCTGTCTAGGCAGGAGGACAAGGCTTGAGTCCTAGCACTATCTTCAATGGAGATGTGACCTTCGCCATTTGTAAAAGGGTGATGCCTCTTCCTTGAGACGGACACCAGGATTTAGTGGATCATTAGGCTGCCGCCTAATGTGAAGACCCGCAGTGTTTCATGCGTAGTCAGCTGAGATTTTGCAGCGTCAGCATGCTCCCCCACACAGCCGCAGCTTCTCAAAGCTGGACCAATCCATCAAGGCTCAGCTCCTTGGGAAGACTCCTCTCCCCCTGCAAGGGACCTGCTCTTTCTTTCCTGCATCATGTACATCAGGAAGGGGAGAGGTCTTCCTGGACCCACAGTGTGCTTTCCAAACTGTTTCTCACCTGCTCATCTTCAAGCCAAGCAAACAGGCAATGGTTTCTCAAATCACTCAGGCCAAGTTCAACCTGGTCCCTGAGGACCCCAACCCCGACTCACCTGCTCAGCCCTCCTCTCCTGTGACTCTCCCTCAGCCATCGGTGCCCCACCTCCCCTCCCCACTCACCCGAGCTCCATCCCGGACCTGTCCTCTTCTCTCCTGGCATCCACAACCTCCATGCCCTCACCCAGGCCCATGATTTCGACAATACCCACCATCCCACTGGCCTCAGATTCCTACTTCCATCCTTGATCACGGACCCCTGATTCATTCAACCAGTTCCCCACTCACTGCTCTCCCGCACGCCTCATGAGCTTATCATTTCAACATAGTCAAGCAAACGACTCCTCTCCCTACTGCCCAGACATTGCCAGGAGCACGCCCTTTCCCCACAATGGGACCACAGCTCTCCTGGCTGCTCGGCTGCCTCCTCTTTCCTTGCCCCATGTCTGTCCACCCTGTTGAACCCACTTCCACAGTGCTTCAGCTCCAAGTACTGCCCTGAACCTGTCCATGGTCTCTGCCCTAGTCCAGGCTGCCACCAGGTCCCCAGCAATCAGGAATCTAGGACACCATGACATTCTGTGGAGCCCAGCCTGGAAGAGACTTGGATGCCTACCTAACAGGAAATCAGGTCCAACCCTACAGCATCTCCGCAGAAGCAGCCCTGGCCCTAAGGGGCCAGAGCAAGGTCCACGCCCAGCCTTCCTTGATCCCAGCTCCAGTAATTGCTCCAACCCTCATCTTCTGATGGCAGCAGCAGAGAATCCAGGAGACACAAGGGGTGACAAAGACCTGACTTCTTTTGATGTCCAGAATGACGGGCAGTTCCACCCCCGAGTCCACCTAGGTGGGACTCGGTCATCAGTTAGGGCATGTGCTTGTTCTCCAGGACCTGGACTGGTGCCTCAGTTCCCAGGGTGGAGCAAGGACCCCATCACCAAAGACCCTGTGCCTGGCACAAGCACCCACGCTTCGATTCTTTCTTCCCCTTGGCTTAGAGCACTGTCCACTGCCATCTCCCCCAGACTGGCCCCAGTGCCTTTACTTGCACACCCTCCCCTGGCCAGTGGTTGGCCTAGGGAGCCTCTGCGTGCTAAAATAAGGCCCTTGCTTTCTCCGCTCCCCACTGGTGAGCATTTTTCATCCTTGCCAGCTACATGTCTGCCTTTTAACGAGGCTAACCCAAGTATTGATCCTCTTTGTTATGTTTCTCAGGGGCCTCTTTACCTTTGATTGTGCTGCTAAATATTTGCAGAGTGTGAGTGTAGCTGCTCTATGAGTCCTGGCCTGGCTTATCAGGGGATGGCTGGCACGGGCTGCTGGGCAAGGGCCCCTCCCGATATACTGCCGTTAGTGGCGGGCTCAGTTTACTGTGCCCCGTGGTGTGGCTCTGATCGTTCCTCCCAGACTTTCCCTCCCTCCGCTGAAAGATGAGGTCATACTCTAGCTCATGCATCTCTGGTGCCCAAGTCAGTCCTGCAGAACTGTGTTCATTTGCATGGCAAAAGCCTGAGTCTCCAGCCAGCTCAAGGTGGCCCAGGGAGTCTGACCACCCCCTGGCAACATCCTGTAGAGGCGCACGTCGAGCCCTGAGCCTGTGTGATTCTGACCCCGGGCTACCCTTGGTACCGAGACACAGAGATCTGCCCTCCTCGCTCTGCCTCGTGCCTGGGCCAGTGTCTGTGCCTGCATGTGTGGGAATAGAAAAGGGACTAGAAGGGCAGAGATGCATGAGTGCTTTTCAAAGAAACCTTGGTCCTATCGAGTGAGTATTTTCTTCTAATCATAGGATAATAAATGTGTTCCGTTTTGTAAGTTGACTCCAAGTGGATAGCAGCGGCTCCCTAGGGTGCTATACTAAAGACTAGGAGGTCTCAGGTAGACCTAAAAGGTGCTCTCACTCATAAAGATGATGCCTGTTAGATTCTGGTGATGTCTTCTCCACCAGAGAAGCTAGGGCATGGCGGTGTATATTCAGTGACTGAGGGCCTTTCTGTTTCCCAGAAATTGGGCCTTCCTGCTAAGCTTGGTGATGAGCCTCAAATCCTGACTTCAGACCCTTAGTGACCACATGGTACTCACAAAGTCTTAGTCCAATGAGTAGACAGATCCGTGTCACTCATCTTAGCGTGTGCCCTACACGGTTCTGCCCTGCTCACCAGTCGAGTCTCGCAGTGCCCTTTGGGATGGACAAGGTCATGAGACTTGACCCTTCTGTGTACCCAAGGATGCTGAAGCTTTGAGCAGTTCATGGTTGCGTCTGCAGCCACACAGCCTCCTAAGGCAAGTGGGCTAGAAGAGAAATCTCCCAAGTCCTGGGCCAGTTAGCACAGTTAATGGGGCCCTGTAGGGACAGATGCTTCCCTAACCCCCTCTTAAGCTGCTGGAAGTCACGTCAGGTCCAAGGGTGCGGTCTGGGGGCCGAAGAATGGGCAGATTGTGTGTCTTCAGCAAGACCATCCGTGAAGTAAAAAGTGGGCTACCTTCAAGACCAGGCCTTGTAACACCGAGTCCACACCAGCCAGCAAGCAGGAGGCCCATGGCACGGCGGCCCGGGAGAAGTCAGGCAGGCAGGCCTCCCTCAGTTTTGCAGCATCTAGTCCAGAAAGTCTTGTTTCTTGTATGTGACCCTGTTTCTCCCTTTCTTCCATAGCTCCAGCATTTGCAGCTGTGTCCCAAATCTGGGACTTAACTAATTTTTCAAAGGTCTAAAAATAGAAGCCTTGTCCCCACCAAGCAATTCCAGAAACCATTTCCCTGTCTGCCCCTCCTGGCAGACACCCACGAGATCTCCGTTCTCCAAATAAAACTGTGATGAAATCCCAGGAAAAGCCATTGCTTGTTTCTCCAAACGACTTTCCCTCAGACAGTGGCGGCATGTGCTTTCCCCAGAAGCACATAAGAGCTGCAAATTAATTACATGACATAATTAGCTCCCTTCTCCAAATCTGTGCAGTGGGCACTTGGACGCAAGAAGAGTAATAGCAGGCTTTGGGTTGCTGGCTTAGTGACAAGGCTTTGTAGGAGGACAATAGAAATGATGATGTGCTTGGGGAGCATTTTCTGTTAACGTTCACAGATTGTATGCAATTTGATTTGAAGAATCTACCAATAATTGCTTTCTTTTTACTAGATAAGCATTTATCTTAATATACATTGCAAGTGTAAGTGTTTCTGATTCACCAAACGCACAGATTCGGATTCACACGTATCCCAGGATGCGGCTGCATGTAGTAGTTATACACCACCATGTAAATAGACTGCATCTCAAACCAGCCACTCACATGTGCTGTCTCACAGACTCTACGGGAGAGGGATGCAGGCGCCACCTGAGCTGGGCAGGTCTGCCTTGTGGTCTCCCATGAGGGTGCAGCAGAGGTGGCAGTGAGGGCTGTGGTTCTGAGTGCTTGGCTGAGGATGGAGGGCCCATTTCCACAAGACTCACACAGGCAGCTGACAAGGCCAGTGCCACTTGTTAATGAGAGACCTCAGTTTCTCCGCATATTGATCCCTTCAGAGGGCTTCTTGAGCATCCTCACACGGCAGCTGCTTCTGCCAGAGCCAGTGGCCCAAAAGAGCCAGGGAACCACCTCAGAAGTTACATGCAGTTATCTTTGCAGTGGCCTACACGGCATCACTGCGGGCCACACAAGGGTGTGCATTCTAGGGCGTGGGAGTGGTCAGGGGAGACCTCAGGAGCTGCCTACCCAATGCAGGCAGGCACCGTCATAATTAATCCCTCCTGATTGTGAAGAACCAGAGACCTAGAGAGAAGTGTGATCTCCAGATCCAGCGGCTGGCAGGGCTCGGTTTATCAAAACAAGAGAACGTTTGGTGAGTTCAGAAGCCCATTTGATTTGAAGAATCTACCAATACATTTATTTTCATAGATAAGCATTTATCTTAATACACATTGCAAGTGTAAGTGTTCCTGATTCACCAAGAGTGTGGATTCACACGTATTCCAGGCCAAGGCTGAGTGTAGAAGTTCTCTACTACCATGTAAACAGATTGCATCCCGTATTCCATGCATGTGTATTATCTCACAGGGGAAAGGGAACGAACATCTTGCTATCAAAAAGCTCTAAAGGAATTTGGAAGTATGTTACTTGTTTCCAGAGGATTTTTTCTTCTATGTGTTCTTTCTCTTTAACATTCACAAAGGGGAACCCAACCAGAAAGGCCAGCTCCTCCTCTAAGGAGCATGTTTCTCTTTTAAAGAGGTGTCAAGGAACGACTCCTGCTCAGACTTGCCTGAGATCCAGAACGGCTGGAAAACTACATCTCACACGGAACTGGTGAGGGGAGCCAGAATCACATACCAGTGCGACCCCGGCTATGACATTGTGGGGAGTGACACCCTCACCTGCCAGTGGGACCTCAGTTGGAGCAGCGACCCCCCGTTTTGTGAAAAAAGTAAGAATGACCTTGTTTTCTCCCCAGGTCAGTGGATGGTGAGTCCCTCCCGTGGGTACTTTTTCTGAATGGAAGCACTGGCTCCTCTCCTCTGCCAACTCATCGGTGTGTCGCTCACAAATGTTATTTTGTAGCACTCAGTGCCATGTCAGCCTCACATGCTTTCTATGCCTGGCAGAGAAGATAAATGAGCGAAAAACACTGAGTATAAGGCCGTGGGGTGCAGGGGGGCCGTGGTGCACGGGAATATGTGTAGCTTGTGTAAGAAAAGTGATTCAGCTCAGTTCTTTAAATACCTGCTGCAGCCACGCAAAACAGCAGTCTAAATTGGAGCTCACCATCTGTCTTAGGTACTTTATGCTCGTTGCTGAGACCAAATACCTGAAGCCCAAGTTGGGAAAGGAAAGGTTTATTTCTTACAGTTTTTGGAGGTTTCAGTCCACACTCAGTTGGCTCCAAGACAGGCTGGGCCGCAGTTCATGGCAGCTGCAAATAGCAAACAGGAACGGGCAAAGAGCAAGACACACCTTCTTCCTGCCATTACATCACATCCTGGCTCCACCCCTAGGTGGGTGGAGCACTGACACCATCAATCCAAGCACTAGACAATGAACCAATCACAAATACACAATGCAAACTCATGAGGCCTGGGGGACACAGACATAAACCATGACACCATCGCTCCCCATTTCTTTCTTTTTTTTTTTTTATTTAAGGAGAAAAAGAAAAAAAAAAAAACAGAAAAAAAGTACAAGTTATACAGAATTTCAGAAAAAATAAACAGTAGGAAATCACTAGTTAATAGATTACATATTCTCATCTTAGAAATAGTTGTTCAAGTCACAAAATTAAAACATACAAAGTGGACATTCAAACAGTGAGACTGGGGGCTGGAGATTTAGCTCAGCGGCGTAAGTGCCTGCTTGCAAGCAGGCAGTCGTGAGTTCAATCCCTGGTACCGATAAAAAGGAAAAAGACAGAAAAAAAAAAAAAAACAGTGAGACTGCAAACAGTTCTGTTCAATGATCCAACAAAACTCAGTAGTATGGTTATCTATCTTATACACTTAAACATACATGCAGTTATGTCCTTTACAACACTTTCTTTTCCTCTCTTTTGTACAATGACAATTACACATTTTGGGTTTTATTACTCCCACAGTTCTTATTACTTTTTTTAAAGAGAGTAAAGCCAAATGCAACATATCAGAACAGAGTCAGTCAAATCAAAAGGATGGACATAATATATAACGTAAAAACAAAATACAAGGTAATCAACAATGGTTACCATACTGCCTCTTGCTATCTTAGGAAGAATTGCCTATATCATCAGTTATAATAAAATTGAACAAAACAGTAAAGAATAAAACCAAAACACTGGAGACATTACAGGACTTTAAAAGAAGATAATAGTCAACCAGAATGGGCGTCATAATGAATCTTATTGTCTTCACTGTTGTTGCCTATACTTTCGAACTTGGTACTATCAAGCTAAGCAGAATAAGGGAAAATCAGTTAAAACAAGGTGGTGAGGGCAATACAGGGTTTCAAATCAAGTTAATAGGAAATCAAACCCATTTCTAAACCACTGTCATCAGGCGAAGCCAGATCGCTCGCAGAGCCTCCATCCCAGGGTCCTGCTCCTGTGCCTGCTTCCCAGGAGTGCAGGCCAGGCAAGCAGCAAGCACTGAGCCCAGCACCTTGAAAAGGAGGTGGATACAGGAAGCGCTCTGGTTTCCCCACTGAGGTCTCACCAGCAGGGAGGAGCTGAATTTGGAAGTGGCCTCCTGCCCTACCTATTTGCTTCCCACCTCTTAAATCGAGCCCCTTCCCCAACCCTTTGCTGGGACTCCTGTGAGACACTTTGGTGGACCTGTTTCTCACATCTGGAACCAGAATAGCAGCACCAGAAAGACTAAGTGTTAGCCAGAAAAGAAGTTACTGGGGAAAGGATGTGGAGATTACCTACAATTCCCATTGTAAACTTTCAACATCAAAGAAAATTTATACTGGGAAGTCTAGCAGAACCTGCCAAAGATACACAAAGTTGACTACATAAATAGTCCTAGAAGTTCTGCAACAGTATGGGTCTGTGTATGTGGTGTGTGTGTGTGTGTGTGTGTGTGTGTGTGTGTGTGTGTGTGTGATAATAGATACTAAAAAGGTGAAGAGTGAGTTCACCCATTACCCATTCATTAAAATCACCTGTAGCATCATCATTATTAAAAAATAGTTTAGGGGCTTGAAAGGGACACATGATAGAAAAGTCTTCTTGTTTGCCTTATTCTTTGCCAAGAAAAATAAAATCAGAGTAAACAGATTTTCCCCCACTTAAAAGTTTTTAATTTTTTAAGTATTAAATTCTGTGTGGGGTTGTTTCAGTGCTGGGACCCTCACATCTCCATCTCAGGAAGATGAAACCCCAAACTGCTTTCTCTTCTAGTGAAGTGAGGTCAGCAAAACCTCCTGGAACAATGGGGTCCCCACTCCCAAGGTCCCAGATGTTATGGGTTTCGCCTTTCATGGGTTAGAGCACCCCAACTTTAACAGATACATCCCACCACACTTTCATATCACAGTGACAACAAACGCTGCCTTAGGGGACCCAAGCATTGTCAAAATGACAAAGCAGAAAGTGAAAAGCCTTTATGATCTTACTCTCTAGAATTGGCACATCTGTTAAAACCTTCTGTATTGTTTCAATTGCGTGTATATACACATACATATATCACATGTTATGCAGGCATATACACATATGTACTTGGGAATATATAGGCATACATAGATCTAGATAAACTACTGTTTTATTAGAGATCTGGATGGCTATTTCTGTTTATTACTAAATAGACAGCTATCCATATCTATATCTTTGAACGCATACCCAGATAGAAGAAGGAAGGCAGGCAGGAAGAGTAGCTACAGTAGAGGTATTTTACCATAAAGGATCCATTTTTACAACCTGGTTTGCAACTTTTTCTTTCTTGCTCAGAAATATGAATGTCTTTTCCTATCACACCCATTGTCCGCTTTACTGATTTTTAATTGGTTTATTGTTTTTCTTTTCTCTGTACTGATTTTGCTAATTGAAAGAGCAGTGGCTGCTTGTTTGGCTGCACCCAAGGGCTTCAGAGAGCAGGGAAGGCCCTGTGTCCTGTCCACAGCCATGCAGCAGTCCTTGGAAGGGCTCGTGGCATCGAGCTCTTCCTGGGTTAAATAATTTGCAGTGCTTCCTTTTTATCACTAGAAATTATGGGTAGATACATAACCTTATCCCCAGGTCTTCGGGCTCTCATGTAAATTCTTTGGGCCAATTCCTAAAAGAGGGATGAAATTCAGGTCTCTTTCCTCCAGGCTTATTCTCCAGCAGTTTCTGCTGAGCAAAAAGGTGCACTAACTTCCAATAGAGCAAAGAACCAAATTAGGACCACTTCTAGACCATTCAGGAAACCACTGTTCTGATGCTGTCCACTGTGCTTCCATCTACCCAGTTATGTACTGCACCGACCCTGGAGAGGTGGACCACTCAACCCGCTTAATCTCCGACCCCGTGCTGCTGGTGGGAACCACCATCCAGTACACCTGCAACCCCGGCTTCGTGCTGGAAGGGAGCTCGCTGCTCACCTGCTACAGCCGCGAGACCGGCACCCCCATCTGGACGTCCCGCCTGCCCCACTGTGTCTGTGAGTCCTGTCTGTCCCCGTGGGCCCCAGCGTCTAGACTCAGGGTTGCTTCCTCTTGCTCAGGGCGGAGGCTGGGTTCCTGGGGAGGGGTGCTCACTTCCAGAGGGTAGGGCTTTCTACTTTTGCAGTGTGTGCTAGGAAACTGCTGAACACTGAGCTGCACTGCACTCAGCCAGTTTTGGTCAGAGATAGGGTCTCACTAAGCTGCCCGAGCTGGCCTTGAATTTGTGATCTTCCTATCTCAGCCTGTCTAGTAGTTAGAAATACAGGCATGCTGCATGGTAACCAGGAGGGGGTGAGGGGGGTTTTATCACTATGACCATTGCATCACAATAGTTAGCAGTGACTGTGGGCACCTGTTCTAGAACATTTAGGGCAAATGTATCAAGCATCAGGCGAGCCTCCCACCAAATTTCCCCACCTCCTCGAGGAGTCCTGGGAGGCTGGCATTATTGCGTTCCCTTTAAGAAAAGGATACTAAAGTTTAGAGGTGAAATCACTGCCTCGGTCACATAGCTGTTTGGGGAAGGGGATCCAAACCCAGAGCCATTTAAAAGATGGGCAGTCAGGCTCACAACCGTTGCTGAAAGTGAGCATGAATTATGTAGAAGGAACAGAAGCAGGAGGCTCAGGCATCGCTCAGTGCCAGAACATTTGCCTCATGCTAACATTTTAAAATCATGTGTAGTAGAAAATCATGTGTTTTCCTGTTAGGGGAAAAAGCCAGGTCCCACTCAAGAGACTACACGGAGGTCTTGATGGTTTGGGAAACAAAGAATGCAACTTTAGGTTAAAAGGGGGGAAACACAAGCTAGGCATTGTGATGGTGCATGCCCGTTATCCTAGCATTCTGGGAGGCCGAATCAGGAGGATTTCAAATTTGAGCTCAGCCTGGATAACTTAGTGAGAGCCCATCTTAAAATTTAAGAAGGGGCTGGGAATAGATACTCAGACCCTGGGTTCAATTCCCAGTGCACACACACAGGAGCTGCAGCAAGTTTCCTGTCGATTCACCTGCATCTGATGTGACTATCCAGGGGACCCAGCACAGCTCAGTGTCTCCTCCAGGAGCAGTGTTGTGTGGCTTCACAGAAGCCCGAGTCTGGCTGCAGAAACCATGATGACCACACATACAGACGGGGCTCCCCACGAGATGTACACTCAGTCACTTTAGAAGACACCTGAAAACAAACAAGTCCCGTCCTTTTCCACCGGACAAAGTGACACTCTGAGCACTTACGGACAGCCAGGCATCATGCTAAGCCCGTCACATGCATTAACTCTCCTGTTCCTGGCAGGAAAATAAAATACAGGCTCCTGTCTCTTGATGACCCTACATGAGGTTGATGACCATGTTTATATCCGGAGCTTGTGACCATCACGAAATGAGTTCCTGGATATCCAAGCTCGCAGTCCTGTCTCCCTGGCTGCACACCGCAAATGCTGGCTGTTTTGGTCATGACTGTTCCTACCTCTGAGGACTTGGAGGATTAGAAGTAATCTATGCAAATCATCTAATGCAGGATGGATGTTCAAACATTTCAGAAAGGAATCAATTAAACAATGAATTAATGTATTAACCAGGCCAAGATATCAAAGCATTAGCTCTAAGCCCTGGCTGAACTCTAGAATTGCATGAGTACTTCCAAGAATGCCCTGAGGTCCTAATTAAATTAAAAATAATGTAAAGGGTGGGGTCAGAGCCCTGGATAACGAAATCCAATCCTTTATCCCGGGTGAGAAGACCGGGGACTGAGGAGCCGCCATTGCCTCTTTCCAGACTGGCTGTGCGCATGCTGGTCACATCCAGCTCTGACCACTGGAGACGTGTGCACTCTGTCTCCAGGGCTGTGCTGGACACAAGGCAGGCCACACAGAATGAATTAAACTACATGAAGGCAGGAACCGTGTCTTCTGTGTGTGTGTGTGTGTGTGTGTGCGTGTGTGTGTGTGTAGTACTGGGAGTTGAGTACAGGACCTTCAAAATAGGCTATATCCCCATCCCTTTTTTTTTACTTTTTACTTAGAGGCAGGGTCTCATTAAGTTGTTAAATTGTGCAGGAGGCAGCTGAACTTATAATCCTCCTACGTCACCCTTGCAGAATGCATCCATGTCTGTCTTACTCTCCATTGTATTCTCAGGGCCCAAGTCAGTGCCTGGCACATAAAAGGGGCTCTGTAAATGTTTGTTGTAGTAATTAATCTTTGTTAATTCGTGAAAGAAAATTCCAAGGGTTGGGACAAATGCCTTCTGGGTTACCACTGCCACCTTCTGGTCATATTATTATACTGCAGTACTGAGCTGGAGTTTGTTTTGTGGTTTGGTTTGGTTTGGTTTGGTTTGGTTTGGTTTGGTTTTTCCTCTTAAGGGCCCCTGGCAGCCTCCTCTGTCCCAAAAGGGAGAGGGGAAGGGGCGGGTTTTTCCTCTCTCAGCTGTGATCACGCTGGGTTGCAGTGATGCCTGCTCTCTCTGCCTTGCTAGGCTGAGTTCTGGGCAAACACAAATCATAATTTTCAAGACTAATACCCAGCTCCTAGCCAGGCTGGTGAAGCAGAGGTGCCGTACAGTGAATGTGTACGGCACTGAGAAAGAATTCAGGGAACCGTCCCACACTGTAGGCTTCCTAAACCGGCCTGCGGTGCTCGCCAAGGAGCAGTAGATGCATCTCTGGCAGTGCCAACATGGCAGTGCCCAGAGGAGCGTGCTCTGTGCCTTGTTTGGTTAAAGAAAATTAGAATACTTAAACACCCAAAATGTGTGATTATGGGAGTCTTATTTGGATGAGGCTAAATTCTACAGCACAATTTCAATGCGAAAACAGTTGCTAGAAATTTTTTAAACTGTGAAGCAAGCAATAGGGAAGCTGTATGAGACTAGGACAAGAGTTAGAACAGCCCTGAGCGGAATCGGTGTTTCTCGTGCTCATGCTGCACTCTGCTCACGTGCAGGAGCCTGCGAAATCTTCATCATAACCCACAACGGGCCCACTTTACAGATGAGGAAACCGAGACTCAGAGAGGCCTTTGTGCTCACAAACACACAGCCAGATCTGCATCCTGGTCCCTTGGACACTTGATGCCAAGCACGGTACTCAGTGATCTGACTGAGCTGACATTCCAGAAACACTTACTAGGCACCTACTGCGTTCCAGGCTGCTGACGCTGCGGCTGTGAGCTCTGCAAGGCTCAGAATCAAAGGTTCTTTTCAGAGTATTTTCAGCGGAATCATTAGACCACGCTCAGTACTGGCCCTCATCCAGATGCCACTCGCGTCTATCATAAAAAGATACAGGGACCAGTGTGCAGCTCAGTGCTGCAGCGCGAGCCTACGTGGGTGAGGTGCTGGGTCCCATGCCCAGCACTGCTCCCCCGGGAAACCGTGCTCCCCGCGCCGCTTGCTCTCACACCGCTGGTGAACCACCCCTCCTGTGTCACCGCCTCTGAGTGTAATCACACTCGTCCCATTTACACCCCACTGGACTCTTTGGAGTGTCTTGACTGCAAGCTGTGGGGGGCAGGGATGGTGTCTGACTTCTCCTCCACTGGATGTGTCACCAGGTACGCAGGGGGCACTCAGCGAACACTTTCTGAATGAGTGCACGGACATCTGTAAGGACACATCCATGTGGTCACACGAGACGCACTTCCAGCCACGTAGTAACCTGGAAAGTCCCTTTCTGGGGTCTGGCTTCTGGATTGGCTGAATGTCCAGGGTGGGAAGCAAATAGCTCCTAACTGCTGATGGAGGTGACCACTGGGGTACAAAGAAAAATCCATCTCAAAGATGGAAGCTGGATTCCCAGGGACCTCCGTTTCAAGGAGATCAAAGCCCGAATTCTTCATGAGTGGTGATAACTTTACTAAAACATCCTCAACATTCACTCCTTTGCCCATTGGAAGGTGATACAGTTAAGAGCATGCAGGGCCAGGTGAGTGCTGCGTGTGGCACTAGGGCGTGGTAGGGACTGCAGCTAACATGATGCTCAGGCCTGGTCTAAGAGGCAGCTGCTACTTACGTCCACCAGCCAATCACTGAATAGCTTGTCTGACCACCTGATGCTTCAGAAGAAGCCAGAAATCTTGATCATTACATGAACCAACATGATCTGTGAAAACCCAATGCTTATTCTTAAATTTTGCATTGCATAAGTTAAAAAGAGCCAGCTTTAAGTCATATTTATGGAGGGAAAGGTTCCTGTCAGGACCCACATTGTACAGTGTGCCTCCCACCCACGGGTCCCCTAGAGACAGGAGTGCTACCTGTTTTATTCACCTCTGTGTCCTGACATAGAGGACCTAACAGTTGCTCACTGATCACTGGCTGCCTGAAGAATTTAATATGTCTTGAGCACCAGGTACTGTAGTGGGCACTGGGATTCCTGGCATGAGCATCATAGCAGTTTGCAATGTGAGAAAGAGGTGCAGAGGAAAGAATGGAATAGTTCAGGGTCTGTTCAGGTTATGGGACAGGGAGCTCATGCTATCCGAGACCGATCTGGCTCTGGAGAGGTTCCTAGAGATTCATCTTACAGAATGAGGTGCATCAAACCACCTGTGTTTATGAGTGTGCTGCTTCTGTCATCAGGAGTCTGTGGGTAGCAGAACGAGGTGCTCTGGTCTGGAAACTCTCACAGCAGACCCTGAGGCCAGAGTCTCATCTTCAGATGAGAAGGATCCACATCAACACCCACATGGCCGTCTATAAGATTCAGTTCCCAGCATGCTGCTGGCCAGAGCCCCCTCCGTCCTTGCCACATGGACCTTCCCATGAGGCAGCCCTCAGCATGGTCCATCTGCTGGCAAGACACAAGCACCATAGTCGGAGTGACATCTGTCCTATCACCTCTGCCCTGTTATTGATTAAAAGTTAGTCACAGGTCCCCCCAGCTCTTGAGGACGGTGAGACTGGAAAGAGGTCACTAAGAGCTGTCTTAGTACCTGGCCACTGTGCTCAGCTGTAGTTGGGAAAGGAAGCAGGGGAGAAGCACAAAGCAAACCACTCAGGGTGAATAGCACTGTCCATCTGGCAAATGCAACCAGTTCACTTTGCGGGTGGACAGAGTCCGAGGAGGTGGGACATGAAGCAGACCCTTGGGCGCCAAGTTCCAGGAAGCTACGTCCTCTCCATCGGTGTTAGGGTGCTCCGGGGGGAAGTAGCCAGCACCCTGGTCCATGCCCTGAGGCGAAGTCCGCAGAGCTGAGATGGCAGGAGTTGCACTGGTGAGCTGCAGAGACCGCTGCACTCTGATCCCCCAGGGGCACTTTGGGTAAAAGGCTCAGGGCATCCCCTGGGGGAGTTTCACTAAGCAGGCTGGAATCCGAAGCTGTTGGTGAAAGCTCTCCCGCTCCTGCCTCTGATAGATCCACAGCAGGTACAGCACCGCATATTTGGAGACATGGGTCAAAGCCAGAAGAAAAGACCACTGTTTTAGGATCTGAAGTGGGAAAACTGGAACCCATGAGAACTGTTGTGGAGACCTAGAATGGGGTGCCACGGTGGGAAACAGTACAGCAAGCCCTCAAAAGCTTAAAAACAGAATTACTGTATGCTCCAGCAATTCCACTTCTGGGCATATTTGCCTCAAAGGACAGAAATCAGGGACACAAAGAGGTGTTCATACACCACGGGCACAGCAGCAGCATTCACAAGGGCCACGATGTGGGAGCGGCCCAGTGTCCACTGACGAATGCGGATGCAAAGCCTGGTCCTACAGAGGGACATCATCAGCCTTTAAAAGGCAGGAAGCTCAGCTCCTGCTACAACAGCGATGAACCCTGCGGACGTGAAATAAGCCAGTCCCCAAGACACGTTCTGTACGACTCCATCTACACAAGCTCCTCAGAGTACTCAGACTCGTAGAGACAGAAAGCAGGGCGGTGGATGCCAGGGGCTGGGGCAGCGGAAGATGTGCAGGAGGAAAAGAGTGCTGGAGATTAGCTGTGCGCGGCTTGAGTGCACCCAGCTCTTCTAAACCACACCCCTCAAAGGGTCAGGAGGCTAAAGTCAGTGTTACCAGTGTGAGGATTTGATCATAATTTAGATTTTAAGTTTTCTAAGTTTATGAATGTTTTAGGATTTACAGTCCTTTGTGTAAAGGAGAATTGCTAACCGCCCATTCCACCTGGCTGCTGAAAAAGAACTCAACACATGCTGGGCTTAGAAGGGGTTCAAGCCTCAGGTTCCCCTGGCCTGCAGGCTAGCAGGGACTCCGTGTCTGCAGCTTCAGAGACTGGCCACCAGATGGCGGTGTACGCTGAGTAGGTCGGGCCTTTAACTACTGGGCTCCTCCTGTGTTCCCAGCTCAGAGCGGCCCTCCTGTCAACAAACTCATCTCCAGCAAGGGGAGCAGACACTGTGTTTACAAAGTATGGTGTATGCAGCACCAGTGGAGGAGGAAAGGGCTCAGTTGGTGGCAGGAGACAGCAGGGAAGGCTTCATGGAGGAGGAGAAGCAAGGCCTGAGTACTCAAAGACAAGAGAGGAAGGCAGATCTGAGGAACCGACACAGTTCAGCGCGGGGAGAAGGGCTGACGGGGGTGGGCTGAGCTGGGGCGCACCGGCTCCGGGAGCAGGAGTCCCCCACACTGCTTCACCTCCTCAGAGCCCCATTTGTCTTGATTTCAGCGGAGGAGTCCCTGGCGTGTGACAACCCAGGGCTGCCTGAGAACGGGTACCAGATCCTGTACAAGCGGCTGTACCTCCCGGGAGAGTCCCTCACCTTCATGTGCTACGAAGGCTTCGAGCTCATGGGCGAAGTGACCATCCGCTGCATCCTGGGGCAGCCGTCGCACTGGAACGGGCCCCTGCCCGTCTGCAAAGGTACAGAGGTGGACATGGCACCGAGGGGCCTCTGGGCCAGGGCAGGCTCGCTGACCTCTGAACTTGCTCTGCCCTGCTGCCCTTCATGCACTCCATAGTGCACTTGTCTTAGTCTGTTTTCTGTTGCTATAACAAAATACCTGAGCCCAGGTAGCATATGAAGAGTAGAAGGGTTCTGGGTTCACAGTTCTAGAGCCTGGGAAGCCCGAGAGCCTGGAGCGGTGTCAGCAAGGATCTCACAGCATGGCGGAGGGTAGTGCACCCATGGCAGATCCAGTGCAGGGCTCCTGTCCTCTTCCTAAAAAGCCACTCACGCCATTGTGTGGGCCCCATCCCACGACCTCCTCTAACCCTCACACTTCCTCCCAAAGCCTCCACCTCCAGACACCATAACATGCCAGCTTAGGGACTCCGCTTCCCACACATGGATGCTCGGAGACACACTCAGACCACAGCAGTTGGGTAGCTGCTATTTTTCAACTGGTTTGGTCATCATCGTGCACTGGTGATTTTTAAAAATTTTGTGTTAGTGTACGTTTGCTGTACATGATAGTTACATTTGTATGGGGGAACTTACTGATACAGTTCTTGACCAGTTTTAATGCCTTTCCCTCCCCACCGTCTGCCCTCTCCTCTTCCCCTGGACCCTCCCCTTCTTCCAAAAGCCCACTTCCCTGTTTCCTGCCATCACCGCATTCTTTTACTCTGTAAGTCATTCACATTTGGGGTTTCTCATGTTAGAGAAACCGTATAATATTTAACTCTCTGTGTCTGGTTTAGCAGTCAGCACCTAATCAGGAAGCCTTAGCACTGGGTAGGATGTGAATGTAGCCATCTTGCCCGCCCATTTTTCCCTGAGCTCCCCTTCTGAGGCTTTGACTCCTTGATGGAGTATTTCTGTGCCCAGCTGCCAGGGTGACCGTGACCAGGGCATGGGATGCCATCCCCCATCATCCCGAACTTCCAGGGTCTCTAGGAGAGTTTCACATGGATAACAAAGCCTAATTGCTAGATACAGAATATGTGTGTGTTTCAAGCAGGGAAATGGTTTTCCCTTTGGCTGGACTTCAAAAGAGGGCCTCAAAGGCCACCGCTCTTCAGTTCTTTGTCCCGTGTGAAATCAGTACACAGATCTGGCCTGCACAGTTAAGAGCAGAGGCAAAAGTCTAGTAGTCCCGGTTGAAATCCCACCTGTATCTCCTAGAAACTGTGTGACGTCAGAGAAGTCACCGCACGTCTCTGAACCTCTGTTTTTCCATCTGTGGAATGGCAATGATGATAGTGTCTACCTCAGAAACTGTTGGAGGTTAAATGAGGGACGTAAGCAGAGCTCGAGGTGCAATCCTGGGTTCTTCATTGTTACTCCTTATCACTGTGGGTGTTTTCACACCTCTATTCTCTATCTGTCTTCCCTTAAGAACTTACACGAGCTGATCCTACTGATGACAGTCGCCAGAGACAAGTGAAAACAGAGCACTAACTTTAACAAAATGTGTTATGGGCTTCCACGTCTATTGTTTTTCGAGCTTCATTTCCTACAGAGTGAATTCACCTTGCACTGATCAGCGCTTTCTGGTTTCTCTTCCAGTTAATCAAGACAGTTTTGAACACGCTTTAGAAGGTGAGTTCCATCCCGTAACCAAAAGAACCCCTCACAGCAAGCTCATGGCAGGAAAGGAGGGCAGGTCCTTGAAATGTGTTGACCCAAGTCACTTATAAAGTTATTAATAAAGTCCGCTTTCACACAGCCACAAATAACCTCCAAGCAAATCAAACTAGAAAGAAAAGCATAACAAGTGGGTTTGCAACTTCATGTCCTAAAGGTCGCCTGCTAGGGATTTGACACCAGCTCTGCACACAGGTATGGCAGCGCCAGAGGGTCAGCCCTGAGGTCCGTCTCCTCAGCCAGGAAGGGCCCCCTGATGCTGTGCTGTCTACACTGAGCACCCTCCTGCCACCGCAGGAGGGCAGGCCCGGGGCCAGGCTCTGTTCCCGGCAGTCTCTCTTCCCTGACGTCCACATCCACCTCCCTTCTCCCTTATTGGAAATTCCCCCATGAGTGAAGCTGATTAACATGGACAGGTGCTCAGAGCACATCTTGATTTTCTCTCCACTCTTCCTCCCCAGTTCCTTCCTTCCCAGCCAGTGCAGAAAACCGTCAGCACTTCCATTAAACTGGGTGGGTGCAGACCTCTCCTTCAGGCTGTGATGTCAGGAGCAAAACCCAATCCATTGTTTCCTTGGGAAAGTGTTCCACCCAGTTAGGCAGCTGTCATTGTCCCCCCTGGAGTTGGGATCTGGGACTCTGTGCACCGCGTGTCACTGGATGCCATTCCTTGCGGTCACCCATGCAGTTGGTGGCGAGCTCAAACGCAGGTGCACGGAAGGAGCGGCTATTACTCACCCCGCTTGGAAAATAGCCGGCATTTCACGGTGCCGTTCTCGGCCCGAGACGGCCCGTGGCTGCCTTTGCCACCCCGTGAACCATGAAAACGTGCTCAAGGGCTCGGCTCACCCGGAGCTGCTGAGCGTCACTGCCAGTTTTGTGCGCCTCTATTTATCATCAGGCTGAGGATTGATTTTTTTCAGACCTCATAAAGAGGTGGTTAATGGATTATAGATTGGAACACAGCTAAATGCTGTGAGATGCAGCCACGAGAATGCAGAGGCCAAGCTTCTTTCTAGAAGCAATGTGGGGCCCACCAGGCTGTGCTAGGAAATACCCCTCGTCTCTGAAATAGCGATTGCCACCGTGCTGTGAGCCAGTGGCGCCTCCAGGTGTGGCCGAACGCAGCCCAAGAATGAGCATTGGAGGCTGAGAAGGTGCTGGGTCTTTAAGCTGCAGAGCCCTGCCGGCTGCCCAGCCTCAGTCTTGGATTGGAGTCTGAGTCCTGAAGGGTCCCCTTGCTGGGGGCGACTTTTGAGCAAAGACTTGAAATGGCAGTGAGAGAATCGTGTGGGGGAGGGGGATGCAGGCAGAGAAACCACATGTGCAAAGGCCCTGAAGTAGCTGTGCGCCTGATATGCACTGGCAGGGTGTAAGCAGGCAAAAATGATAATAATAATGTGCACCCTGAAGCAGCTCCCTGGGGGCAGCCATGCTGGGGACTCCTGCTTAGAAAACTTGCAACGGACCGGCCCCATTCCCCCAGGGACAGCTCCACTGCCACCTCCAGTGCAGGTTCACGCCCTTCTCTCCTCTCCAAGAAACTGCGACTCCGCCTCCCCATGACTGCGTTTGGGTTTTCTCCGTCTCTTTCCTCTGCTCGCATTTAACCTAATTGCACCCTGGCTAAAGGATGCACTGAGACTGCGGATTTCTCCAGCTCTTCTCAGGAGCTGGGCTTTAACCAGATGCGGCTGCACCCCGCCCTCCGGTGGGCAGGGAAGGGAGCCCCTGGCCCCCTGGCTCAGAGGCTGTAGAAGGGGCGAGGGGCCCGGAGTGCTGCCTGGGAGGCAGAGGGATACCGCGGGGCAGGGCTCGCGCGGCTGAGGGGCTCAGGGGCTGTTGTTCAGTAGCAGAAGCGGCAGCCGAGTCGTCGCTGGAAGGAGGAAACATGGCGCTGGCCATCTTCATCCCGGTCCTCATCATCTCCTTGTTGCTGGGAGGAGCCTACATTTACATCACCAGGTAGGCTGAGGCAGGAGGCGGCACCCCAGGAGCTGGGTGGTGTCCTCAGAGCTGCAGGTCTGCTCTGGAGCCCTGGGTTGGTGACTGTGGAGCTGACTCCGCTCTGCGGGGAAGGGATGACGCTGGCACAGACCAAGAGCCCCTGGCAAGAAGACTTACGTGAAGTAGCACCCAAGACAGACACTTTCCTGGCCTCCTTTCTTGGGGGACGTGGACAGTGCACACTGCCGGGCTCCCCGACTCACTCATTCTGTCACTCATTTTTGCATTCCCTGAATACACAGTCACAATTGGGCGGGTGCCGGACACTGTCCCAGGCTCTGAGGCCCCAGGCTTGCATCTGATGAAGGAGGCTGGTGTAGACCAGGTCTGGCAGAGTCCCTGACGCATCCAGGGTCACACTTACCAGAGCACTGCTGTGTGCCAGGCAGACTTCCCGGCTCAGGGACATGAGCACCACAGGAGGAATCTCTGTCCACACAGGCCTCGAGTTCTAATGATGCAAGACAGATAACAAGCAAAACACCAGAGGAAAACATGGAGTAGGTTAGAGAGTAAAAAATGCAGGGAGGAGAAGACAACTGGAAAAAGAGAGAAAAGGCTCTGGAAGAGAGGTGGCAGTTGCATTTTTAAATTATTAGATGAAAGAGGCCCCACTGAGCAAGGATGTAAACATGATACAATGAGTAACATGCAGAGGAATGGGACATAAGGGTGTCAGGTTGAGAATTGGCATGTGCAAAGGGCCTGAGGCAGGCATGTGCCTTGTGTGAGACACCCTTGCCTTTAAGGAGCTCCTGTCAAGGGCAGGAGGAAGAGGAGGAAGCAGACAGGTGAATGCTGACACATTAGAGTAAACACAGTGAAGGGAAGACTTGCCTGAGCTCAGGTAGTGAGCTGACTGCTCTCATCCCTCATGGCAATGGGTCTCCCACTACGGGAGAGCTGACGTCCGTCTCTGGTCTCTTCTCCAGGTGTCGCTACTACTCCAGCCTCCGCCTGCCCCTCATGTACTCCCACCCCTACAGCCAGATCACCGTGGAGACCGAATTCGACAACCCCATCTATGAGACGGGGGTGAGTTGCTCTCCTTTCTCCCGCCTCCTCCCTCTTCAGCCACCGTGCTGCCTGCAGAAGACCCAGCCGAAGTCCTGCTGGTGCCCACCGCATCCACCACCACGCTCACCACCAGGGCATCCAGCCCTATGGCAAGTGCTTGGAGTCAGGAGTAGTCTGACAGGCTGTCCACTCTCAGGGCACCCATGGGAAGGAAGGGCTGCTCCTAGGACCCACAGATGGCCCAGTGGTCAGACTGTGGGTGCCCCAGTGGCCCAGACATGTGGCCGTCTTCCACGTCTGGCTGAGCCCTGCTCCTTACTGAGGGCACAGCTCAACCTTCCTATACCCCTGAGAGGCAGCCCAGTGCTAGGTCCTGGGAGCACAGTACTGCCCAAGCACACTCACTTCACAGCAGGATACATCCTGGGAACACCACCACGTGGTGGTCACCATGTGAATATCTGGGGTGGGGTCCCCAAACCCGATGGTACAGGTTCATCACTTACTGTCTCTTTCATTTCATTTTGTTTGTCTGTTCGTTCGTTCATCTGTGTAGCAGAACTGGGGACTGAACCCAAGATCCCTGCACTCAGCTATGTCCTCAGCCCTTTTGTCACTTTTTATTTAGAGGTGGGGACTCACCAAGTTACCAAGACTGGGCTCAAGTCTCAGAGTGCTGAGGTGACAAGTGAGCAGCACCACACCTGGCTTGCTGTGATGTCTCAGTGTGATCACCAAACCAGGCATGGTGGCTCACACCTGTCATCTGAACTACTCAGGACGCTGAGGCAGAAGGATCCCAAATTGGAGTCCAACCTACGCAACTTAGCAAGATTCTGTGTCAAAATAAAAAGGGCTGGGGATGTGGCTCGGTGGTAGATTGGTTGCTTAGCACATGCTAGGACCTGGGTTCCATTCCAGCACTGAAAAAGCAGGGAGAGAGAGACAGAGACAGACACAGAGATGGAGGCAGAGAGAGAGGACACAGGAGAAGGAGGAAACTGAGGCCAGAGTCACGTCACATGCAGCTCACAGCAACCCTTGTAGGTGAGCAGGGGAAAGCTCTAAATTAAAAACTCAGTACAGCAACTACACGAAAGAAACACTGTGACACTGTCACTTGTTATCATTAGCAGGTGTCCCCTACTGTCCCTGACCATAGGTGCCATCCTTCTGGATGGTGGCCGTGCAGTAGGTTCGTTCCCCTGCATTGCCACACATGAGTGAAGCCACGTCACGTGGCAGCAGCCACAGCATCGGCAGGCAATCGGCATCGTTCTGCCCGTTATAATCTCGTGGGGCCACTGTCCACTCTGCAGCCCACTGTTGACCACATGTCATTAGGTGGTGCTTGACCACAGGCTCAGTTCCCACCCCTTGAGTTTACAGGTTTTTTTTGTTTGTTTGTATCAGAAATAGAACTCAGGACCTCGTGCTTGCCAGGCAAGTGCTGTGCCACTAAGCTATATCCCGGCCCGAGCTTACAGGTTTGCAGAGAGGATGAATATCACTAATAATAATAATGATAATAATAATAATATGTCCCATGTACCAAACACCAAGTGCATAACGTCCATAATGCCTGCACACTTACAGTTTCCTTGGCATGAATTCTAGAGTCATGTGCCTTTGACTGATGAGGACATGAAGGTCCTGAGAGAGCAAGAGAGATACGGCCAGCAGGCACCAAGTCAGGGTGCCCAGCTGCGAGCCAGGTTGCTCTCAGCCTGCTGCCTTGAACAGTGATGCTCACCGGCCTCCCCACAAACCTCAAGTCGTCAGATGTGTCCCTGACTAGCTCCATTGTGCTAAGTGATCACATGAAAAAATTAAGGTGCTGTGAGAGTATATGATGGGGGAACTTGGAGAGGGCCGGAGAAATGTTTCAGAGGAAGTGATTGCACATCGGAGAGGTGGAAGACGGGTAGAACTGGCTGCAGAGTGTGCCAGGCAGGCAGAGAGACACGTGCAAAGGTCCAGAGGCAGATCATGACAGTACAAATCCATCTATTCACACTCACTGCACTGTGAGGTCTGTCCCCTCCCAATGTGTGCGGGGATGGAAGTGACCTGTTGTCCCTGCTGCCTTGTCTTCACCCTCTAACAGGCCCCTCTGTGTAGTCATCTGTTGACCTGTAACAATAATACCACAAATCTACACGCATGAGTGTGTAGCTCACACGAGTCTCCTCACAAGATGGGAGCCATGAACCTGTGTAATGCAAACATGGAAGTGGCATCTTAGGCAAGGCCACCCTCCAGGCGGAAAAGCTCACACAAGAACGTGAACACAAGCAGGTGGGCACCACTGAAGTCCGCCCCCCACACCTCCGATCTGATGGGAAGCATACCTGTGGCTGCTCCTCTATATTAGCCCAGCAGGAACTGCAGATGCCTCTAAAACATGAGACAGTGACCACTTCCAAGGCCAGGCCATGGTTTCTTCTGTCTCCCTGCTCCTCATCCCTGGAGCCTGGAATGGCTCGTATGTACCCAGCCACCACTCACGTCGCACTGAGAGAGGGCACATGTTCTTCACACTCTAGGCAGCTTGTGTTCAGATCCTCAAAAAAGGTCAGGCTGATGAAAAATGGCAGTTAGTGGACTTTGTGGGTGTGGGAAGGGGGTCCAGGATGGAGAGGAGGGGAAATAGGAAAGAACCACATGTGTGTGTCCCAACTCCCTGGGATGAATGCATTCATCAAGTTTCACCAGTTGTACCAATTTAAGAAAAATAGCATTTAGAGATCAGGCGATGTTTTGGTAGGTCAGATCAATGACCTGGGTCTAAGATAATGCCAAATAGCAAACAATTCCAAACTTAATGTCTTAAAGCAAAAACACCCCTGTGCTCCCCACTCCCTGGGGCCATGATGAGGCTGATTTGAGCAGAGTGGCAGGAACATGCCGGGTTGTGGCCGAGTGACCCGGCTCTCTTCTGTGTCCCTGAGCCCCCGGGGAGACCAAAGGCTTAGAGCTCGTGCCTCATGCAGGGGATGGCACAAAGACAGTGGCACACAGAACAGTCTGGGGGCAGCCTTGGTCTTATAACCTGCGGGAAGAAGCAAGTCAGGGCCAGAGGGGAATCGCTCTGCAGTCCACATGGCCGCAGTCGGGGACGAGGGAAGACAACGAACTGGGACCATCACAACGTGAGTGCCACACGAGGCTTGACACCTCTGTGCCTCTCTTTGTTACAGGAAACCAGAGAGTATGAGGTTTCTATCTAAAGAGCTGCGCTAGAGAAGGGAACTCACAGACATGAACTCAGTTACGACCTCCTCGAGACATCCATCCAGAGACCACGTGGCATTTGATCGAAACCCCAGAGTGTCTGCTGTCTTCTCTTTAGACTCTTGATTGAAGATTTACTGTTTTCTTCACTGTATTTATTATATTTAAAATTGAAGTAGGTGTGGTTTGAGGTATTGCGGGGGCAGCCAAGTTCCTTGACAGCCTTCATGCCCAAGGCAGTGGAATATCTGCAGACAGCAGCAGTGACAGACCAACAAACAACAAATCAAGTCTCTCCCATTATCAGTCCTGGCATGCTGAGGCTGCATCAAGTCACACACATCTTTGGCATCCATGCCCGGAGTGTTCTGGGTGCAAATCTAACTGCCAAGGTTGGGTTGGAAAGGGTGTTTCTCATTGGGTCTTTATGGGTTGGAATTTAACATGGGTACTTAAACCCATTCCTTGTTTTGGTCCAAAACAAATTCTGTGTCATCTTTTCTCCTCTGTCCCACGGAGTTTCTGAAGGCAGCCAAGATGTCACATAAACATTTTCTTGTACCACTTTGGCTTCCCTGGATGCTGGCAAAATAAGAAAATGTTTTCTTTTTTAAAAGGTGATAAATGACAAGGGAGAATTTTCAGAGAAGATGAGAAATCTAAGAGTTCCTACGAGGAAGTGGGTGAAGGGGCACCCTGGGTGAGGGAACCGGCTTAATAAAATGTTCTTTTCCTTGACACTTCTTCAGTGATGAAAGAGCTGGTGATTTACACAAGTGCCAGAATCGATCACCTTGTTTGGCAGGGCCACCCTCCAGCAGAGACAATAAATCCACAGGTGTGGGAGACACAGGCAGATTCACCCCGCACAGTTACAGGGCTTGTGTCGGGAGGGAGGAGGTACCATGCTCTGAAGTTCAGGGGTGAACTGTTTTCCTCCTGGGGTTCTGGGATGTCTCGGCCTGCAACGTAGGAGACAGTCAAATACACTGCTTCTCCAGAGGGTGTCCCCTTCAGAGTCAATATTTCTTTTGTGGGTTTTTTGTTTGTTTGTTTGTTTGTTTGTTTGTTTTTGTCTTTTTGAGACAGGGTCTCACTATGCAGTTCAGGCTGGCCTTGAGCTCACTTTGTAGCCCAGGCTGGTCTTGAACTCACAATGATCCTCCCACCTCAGCCTCCCAAGTGCTGAAATTGTAAGCATATGCCACCATGCCCGGCCAGAGCCAATATTTCCTGGGAAGGTCCTAGGAGAAGGAGGAAGGAAGGTCCTACTCGCCTGTTCTCTGGAACTTTGTATGTTGGGTAGCAGCATGGATGCTGACCATGGAGCTGCAGAGACTAGGACCATGGGCTGCAATCACAACGAACCATGCCAGGGACTCTGCATCATCCGATCTGAGCATCAGTGAGGAGAGGAAGAGGAATTTCAGGTCAAAACAGGAAGACATGGCACTATATCTAACTGCATGAGCATCTTGATATTTTATCAGGGTCCTTTGCCCCAGCCCAGTGGAACTGTGAGTGCGTGACTCTTTAGAAGATTGTCTTCTAAATCTGAGTGCTTTTTATAAAAAGACAGAGGGTGAAGGTGCCTAAATGGAATGGCACATGTGGTGATTTGCCTCCTCGGTACCACGCGGTGGTGCATGGTGATGACACAGCTCAGCCAGGCAGGCGGGTCAGTGGTTTTGGGTGCCCTCCCTTGCTCTATAGAACTGTTTTAAATCTGCTGGTTTTCAAAGAAAGGACCATGCTGGCTGCCAAGCTCTAAAGAAAATGGTCAGGCGTCCATATCCTCACAGTTGCTTTGGGAACAGCTTGAGAGAGGAAACTGGTCCTGTGCATACCCCACCCCACTACAGCTCAGACCTCAATCCTAGGGGTGAGTCTGCCAGAGAAGAGTCCTACCTCTGCAATCCCGAAGGCATAAGCATTCGTGGGGAGAGCAAAAGACAGCAAAGGCCTGCTTTCCAGACCCCCCCAAAGCTTACCCTGTTTATGAAAGAATCAGAGAACAAGCATTTCTGGCCATCCGTGAGCAATGTCGCCTTGGTGAAAGACAACAATACAAATAGCATAAGCTTGTTTTAAAAGGCAGAAATCCAATCCTCGCTTTGACTTTTATTTGATATTCATTGTAACCCTAACCCTTGTCTGCAATGAAGAACTCTGCTAATAATATGTGGTTTTAGAACATACGATGGGTAGGTGAAAACTAAACATTTGCCTTTTGTAAAGACTGACACGATACAAAATCATTCTTCTAACCCTGCTCCAGGAAAGTGACCAGGTCACGGCCCAGGTATTCTTACTGGCTATTGGATGCAGAGAGAAGATGGCGATTTTTTTTTTTCAGGAGACCACTGTCCTGGCTCTGTCTCAGTAGTGCAGCTCTTGTAGCTATGTTTTAAAAGTTTGTTGTAGCCTAGAGTTGGGTCATTTGAGGTCAGCAATGTGCAGTGTGATTGAAAAGACAGGTTTGGTGTCTATTTTTTCTTTTTAAAATATCTAAGTGTGTATTTGTAATATGTAAAGGTAAAAAAATTAATAGTGCCAAAAATGTATGAGACATCTCATTACTGTTCATCTACGTCTGTTTTTATAAGATCAAAATCGAAACCCATTGGAATGAAATATTTTTGGACAGAATACCCTCTTGAGAAACTTAAGAATGAACCGAGCCTTCCTACAAGCCACTCGTTTTTAAAATAGTGAGGAAATACGTTTACAGAGAGTGTGAGCTTCGGAGAATGCATGTGCTGGTGTGTGTTACACACTAATTCATAATAGGCTGTATTGTCAGCTACCACACTGTGCTTTAAAAATGCACACACTCAACCCTCCTCAGCTTGGAGCTCAGCTTTTCCTTTTTGTCTTTCTTTTTTGGTAGAATTATTTATCCAACTTAAGTATTCTGATTGCTATCTGACAGCCTTCTTTACCTAATCCCACGGATGTGCTTTTCCCTGAAAGTGTTTCTGAAGTCGGCCCCTCGGAGAGCTTATGGAACATCATGCTGATAGCTTTGAAACCTTTCAACAAGCCCAGAAGAAAGAAAACTGGCCCTACAACCACGATGGCGGTATAGAGGAGGAATTTGGTGAAGAGTGGGTAGCTTTAGGCTGATACATGTCCCTTGGACAAAAATGACGTCCCCTGGGATATAGCTAAAGGTCGTGACCTTTCTATATCCTGATGAGGCTTACTGGGTCATTTGAGGCCAGATATTATGATGAATTCTCCAGCATCCCCAAAGGTAGGCTTTCTCCTGGGAAATTTTCTTGCATTTTCATTTTATTGTTAAACAGAATAAAAAGCAGAACAAACTTTCTAAGCTAGAATAATGAAATTAAGTCATTTTCCACTTTGTATATATTGATGCTAATAAAACATATTAAAAAAAGAGTCTAATCTATGAGATTTTTGTTACCAGGGCTATAGGATGGTACCGAATAGGGTATTTCCAGTTTCTGGGAATTGAGTCAGGGGACACTTGCGGATATTTTGAAGACCAAGATGGGACTTTCCCAATCTGCACTGGGTCCTACGTTCACTGAAGGGATATTTGGAACCAGACAGATCTCAGGGGACTTGCATAGTCAGATACATCATCCCCTCCCCACAGTCTCAGGCTGCCGTGATGAAGTTCCATAGACTGGGTGGCTTAAACAGTAAAGATTGTTTCCTAGTGTTCTCGTCATGTAGAAAGCCACCATCAAGGTAGCAGCCAAGTCACTTGTGAGGGCTGCCCTCCTGACTTGCAGATGGTTTCCTTAAAGGGTCTCCACATAGCAGATGGGGAGAAGAGAAGGGTTTGGGGAGACAGAGTGGGAGGTTTCTCTTCTTTACCTGTCTTCTCAAATGATCCTTGGGAGCTTCTTTAACCTTAATTACCTACAAAGAGTAACAACATCCCACTCGTCAGTATCAAAGTCATTATTGGTTAATGTTCTCCAGAGAAATAGAATCAGTAAAATGTATAAGTGTGTATATATGATTTTGTGAACCAATTCATTACACTCTCTCTTCTTCCTTCCCCTGTGTGCATGTGTGTGTCTGAGGCACTGGGCAGGGTCAAACTGAAACACATGCAGGGACTTATTGTAAGGAATTTATCCGTGCCATTGCAAGTCTCAAGGCTGACAGTCCCAAGCTGCAGAGCTGACACATGATTCCAGTCAAACCCCAAGTCTAACACCAGGAGGAGCAGTGTCCAAATCCCAGACGGGCTGATCTGAAACATAAGATCGGTGTTCCCAATCCTGTTCAAACACCCCAGAACACCGATGTCCTAGTCCCAGACAGGAGGGAACATCTTAGTCACGTCATTGCTGAAACACAATCTCCAAAACTCACAATTTAAAGAATGAGGTTTTTACTGAAGGTACAGTCCCTGGCTCACCAATTCCAAGGCAAAAATGGCAGGGCAGAAAGATTCGAAAGAGGAACCCTGCTTAGACCATGGTGTCCAGGAGGCAGAGAGAGAAGGGAGGACCCAAGGAGGGAGGTGCCCCCTCCTGCCCACCTGCCTCTTCCAACAAGGCCTCACCCCCCAACAGCACTGGGTACAGTTCCCCCAGTGAGTACAGTGCTCCATGATCCAGTCACCTTCCGAAAGTCCCCATTTAGAAACTCGAGGCTTCGGGAGGATGTTTCAGATCTGAACGATAACATCTTTCCCAATTATGGGCGGGTCCACCTTCCTGTAGTATTTGGGTGATTGCATGAGGTCCACTGCCATTAAGGGCAGTCTGCTTTACCCAGGGCACAAGCTCCTACGCTAATCTCATCCAAGAACTCCATGGCAGTCACGCCTAGAAGACCCAGTGTCTGCACTGGGTCCTACGTTCACTGAAGGGATATGGCCCAGTGTCTGGGTATCCCATAGCCCAGTCGAGCTGATTATAAGTCACCATCAAACCCAGAAACCCTATGAGTATAAGGGGACCCCTCTAAGGAGAAGGTAAGCTATGACTTCTCTATGGAAGCCTCACAACAATGTTGTTCTTTCTGGGTGAGAAATGAGCAAAATATTCACACCTTCTGGGATAACAGCAATTGGATTCAACCTAATGTCTTAGGTTGTGTCCCCCAGAAGCAAACCTTAAGACAAGAATTCAAGCGCAAATAGGTTTTTCCAAATTCCATATTGTGCTAGTAGACAAGTGGGAAATTAAGACTGAAAAGGAACATAGGACTGAAAAGTGCTTCCCTGGAGATGTGGCTCAGTGGATGAGCACTTCCCTAGCATGCATGATGGCCTAGGTTTGATCCCCAGCACTACAAGGAGGACCTGGAGGACACCGGTCAAGCAAATTACTCCTGAGGACAGTCAGGCTCCGTGGTACTGTGTAACTCTGGAGCCTGGTGAGCAGCAAGCCCGGGAGTTGTTCCACCTGAAGGACAAGGGAGCTGGGTTGTACATCCTCCAATCCCCAATCATCACTGATTAAGAGTTGTACCTGGGCGGCAACAACTCTTCAGCATGTCCAGGACTCTCTGTTCTCAGAGTTGCTTAGGTGTGCAGATGGAACACATCCTAGCAGGGGTCATAGGAATAGCAAGTGACACAGGACATGAACACAGCACCTGTCACGCTCACTATCACCCACGTCATTTGCCAATCGGTTCAGTGGCCAAGTCAACCCTCAGCCAGCTCATCCTCAGCTACGTTTGTCACTCACTGGGTCAGTTCCTGTGCTGTGGACATCTCAGTAATGTGACTGAGTGCAGGAGAGCC